AGGTAGCCAGCGCAGCTCGCGGAGGATAGGTGTTATGTGGGTGAACCGAGGTGCACCCACGATCACTCGCGCGGCCGCATTTTGATTAATGTATGGTCAATTACAAAATAAAGTAGTCCTAATCCACCAATTTACAATCTAAAAGGACTGTGTAAGAATGGAAGAGATGAACACGAGTTATTTCTTAAGGAGATTTGGTAATTTTTATAATGGACAGTTGAACACTTAAAAATGGGGAGGAGTTGATTTTTCAACAAATTGATAGGATGGCTCCACTTGTTTTCTAGCTCTGCTGTTTTATGGGGAAAAGTTAGTGGGAGCTAATGAATAAGTTAATTTGGATCCTTAATGAGCCTAAACTGCACATTAGACTGCAGTTTAAAGGCTTCATTGTCTTTTGTCAGAGTATCTATATGGTGTCCGAATTGAAGAATACACTTAATTCTTCTCTTTTAGTTAAATGAAAATTATATGCTTAAGTACTTCCGATAAACTATTGCAATTCATATAGAAAGTCTATATTGCATATAGAATATTTTTGTCACATTTCTCTTAAATACTGCACTTTAAGCTTAGGTGGCCCATTGAAAATGTCTTGGAATCAAATGCTTTGGGGAGCAAAAAATATAAGGCACAATTCCATCTGCAGCAGCCTTAAATTCATATTGCCCTATATGCATGTTTTGTTATATTCTGTAATATTTAATTATCCACAAGATAGGCAAGTTTATAATTTGTTAATGTAAAGCATTTTTTCAAGTTGTGTTTTGGGTGATCTAAGAAAGGGTAGGAGATGTCAAATTCTTCTAAATATTAAAAGCACAAATTTATACGGATTGTGAAGATGAAAATGCTTGTCAGTAGATCTGTGTACATCTAATTTACATGTGTATGAGTTTGAAAGGAGGTAGGGAAAATGGCTTGTAGGCTGAGGGAGAGATGCCTGTGGAAGTTGGTAAAAGGTAGGTAGCTGACCTTCTCTACCATAGTCGTCTCATAATCCCACTACCACTACTGTTACCACCAGGTTTTCATTTTGATTTGAAAATTGGGCAGGGATGGGACAGAATGTTTATCCTTCTGACTTTTGAATACAGGATTGCTTTTGCTCCCTCTCAGTTTTTATTTTAGCAGATGATGAACAGCTGTTTTGAAGAGGGCATTTTGCTTTAAAGGAGACAGGGAAGAGGGAAACGATCTTCCACTTAAAGTGGTCTTCTGAATCCAATCCATACTGGGATGGCAAATTAAGTACTGTGGCACAGAAATAGGAGTTAAAGTTCTGGAAAATATTATTGATGTGAGGAAAAGGGTTGAATGTTTATTTTAATACTTTTTTTAAAATGTCTTTTTTCAGGTATATCCCACCATGAATCAGCTATCAGCCAGTTTGGGAGGACTCGGGATACAGCAGCCAGAAAGTCTGAGACCATTGAATCTTATTCAAGAAAGAAATATTCTACCTATTGCTCCAGTTTCACCTCCTTTGCCTAATCTGAACTCTGATCTGAAAAAATTGAACTGCAGCCCAGAGTAGGTATAACATGACAATTTTTTGAATGCTTGCAGTTTTAATTTCTCTGAAAAGTTGGTCTTAGGATGTGCCTGGTTCCATTTTTCAACAAGAGAAATTTGCAGGGAGGCAAAGGATGACATTTGTATGACTATATAATCAAATGCCACAGGTTGCATTGGATGTCAGGACACAACTCCAGAAGGGTAGTATTTGCATAATAATATCACTGCACAGATGGTGTCATTTGTCATGGTTTTCTGTGATTGCCACTGATAGAAGTCACTTTGAAAGCTATTCTAAAAACATTTGACTAAAGGGAATTAAGAATACTACTTTTTAGTCTTTCCACATTTTATTCTGAATCCTGTAGAACGGGTCCGCAACCCTTGGGCCGCAGCCCCCTACTGGGCCGTGGCCTGCCAGAACTGGGCTGCATGAGCAGCTGGCTGGTGCACACAGCTTGACTTGTGGGAATGGTGATCTGGCACACATGCGTAGCTTAACTTATGTGAGCAGCGGGCTGGTTCCCTTCTCCCCTACCAGGCTGCCAAGTCGTAAGGGTTGGGGACCGCTGCTGTAGAATGACAAATAGGGAAACGGGGAAAACAATTCTCATTGTTATCTATTTCTCAGTCAAATATTGATATCAATACTTACATTATCAGGTCCAATCTGTTACTGGGTTTAATTTTAAAAATACGTAATCTGAGCAAATAAGAATTTAGTACGTATATTTTGGTTGCGCTTATATTTTGGTTGGATGAAAGTACAACTGCCCACTGCCACCTGTAACTGCTTGAACATTTGGCAGGGAGGGAGCTGTACTTTCTAAGTTTTTTTCCCTCTAACTATTAAGCTACTGCGGGCACCTTCCTCTCGTGAATGAAGGCAGTGGTTCTAACTTGGTCGTTCTGGACAGTCGGCCTCTTCTCAAGCAGCAATTAGATGCTATGACCAGAGTACCCTCTGCCCAGCTTTGGATAGACATATTTGACTTTCCTTAAAGCCTGATGTCATTGATTGGGCAAGAGAAGATATATAATTTTCTATTTCACATTTCTTGTATATGTCATAATTTATTTTTGCATTTTAAAACATTTGTTCTTAATACTAATAAATTGTCAGTTTAATCTCAATAGGCCTTCTCCAAATATGTTCAATGTCTCTGGAGTCTCCAGGCCACAAGAGCAATGAACATACAAGATTCTGGCCTGTCTAGGATTTTTGGCAAGCTCTGTAATGTGGTCTTGAACATTTAGGATTTTTTTTTTCCTATAAAACAATCAGTACTATTGTTCAAAATAATTGACATATGTGTTTGTGATTTTTCCGTAGCTCGTTTCGATGCACTTTGACAAATATTCCTCAGACTCAGGCACTTTTAAACAAAGCAAAACTTCCCTTGGGATTGCTTCTACATCCTTTCAGAGATCTAACGGTAAAATGACTTTTTTTATTGCCACAAGTTTTTAGTAGATAAATTTGAATAAGGTGATTATGTATTTTGATTTATATATTATAGAAGTATATACATTTTGTGTAGTACAGTAATAGTTTTTAAGTGATGGAAGCTGTAAACTGTGTTGGCTGTTAATGGGTCAGATATTCTAAACAAAAATATACCACTGAAAACGGGGAAAATATTTTCAAGATAATATTGACATTTACCGATTTAAATATATTTACTTGAATTCAGTGATTTTCGGCAAACCTTGAAAAATTAATTCACAGTGTTGCTTGTGTAGTTTTGCCTTCTGTGGCTGGGCTCTCCAGCTTGCTACTTGTTACCTTACTATAGAAAAATAGTTGTTTCTAGTACTTAATCTCTGAAGAGTGCATAGTCAATTTAACATTTGTTGCTGGCAGTTTAGGATAAAAGAGTTATGAAAACAATTTCTCTCAAATTAATTCTAGAATTGTGTTGTTTTTTTAGCAATTGCCTGTGATAACATCAAGCAGCATTGTGAGGTGTAGATCATGCAGAACCTACATTAATCCTTTTGTGTCTTTTATTGACCAAAGGAGATGGAAATGTAATCTGTGCTACAGAGTTAATGATGGTAAGTATTAATCCTTCTCCAATATGCCCAATGCCTCAACTTTCTGAGTTCAATATCAAAGAACCTTTTTCTAGGTATCATAACATCTATGTTTTTAGAGATACACATTGTTGTATTTCTAATTGAAATAATTGTATGTGCTGATTTTTCTATTTGGTTTTATTATGCTGATTTCTTCATTTTTTAACTTAAATGACTTAAATGCAATACATTTATTTTATTATTTAGTTCCTGAAGAATTTATGTACAATCCTCTAACAAGATCATATGGAGAGCCTCATAAGCGTCCAGAGGTCCAAAATTCTACCGTGGAGTTCATTGCTTCTTCAGACTACATGGTAAATTTATAGTTTTAAAAGATAATATTTTATAGGTCCAGATATAGGGACACGGCGGCTCAGCGGCTAAGACACTGAGCTTGTCGATCAGAAAGATCGGCAGTTCNCTAGTCAGCATGCTGACTAGGGAATTCTGGGAGATGTAGTCCACACATCTTAAAATTGCTGAGGTTGAGAAACACTGCTTTGGACCAATAGGAAGATTCAAACCCCGATCCCCACCCTCCCTGATCCTCCTCCACAGAATAAAACTAACTCATGTTGTATAGGTTTGTGTAATAGCCAGTTGGGAAGTTTGCTCACTAACTGAAAAACAGGCCCCAAACAGGGTGGGGTTCTTGGACATAATTACACGGCTTTTAAAACACTGCTGTTCTATCATGGGAAAGAGTCCTGTAACTTTGATTTCTATGCTGACATGGCTTCCCTTGCAATTTTTTTTAGTGCCCCCCAGCAGTTTCAGAGAATAGCTTCCAAGTACATGGTAGAAAAAGGTGTTGCACATTGGAAGTCTCATCCACCAAGGTGTGGCTTCATCCAACCCTAGCTTAAGGCAAAAGCACACAACAAGTTTTAACATCTCTTCTAGAAACCTTTTATGCTGATTCAAGTCTTTAGTATTTAGCTTTCACCCTGCACTATTTTCTAAACTCTTTTAAAACAAATAATAGAATGGGGAAGGGGAGATAATTGCCCATATTATGTAAGTTCTAAATAAATAAATATGATCACCAAATGTGGTATATTGTCACTGACAAGAGAGTTTCATTGTTCAAAAGGTAGCAAATGAAAATATGGTCTGCTATAATCTTCTAAATCACAATGCAATATGCTCCAATACAGTGTGGTATTAGCCCTAATAAGGACAGCACACGAACCTAAGAGACGTGTACTGTAGCATAGTAGATTGCAATAGAGTATACTACAGCATGGTTCTCTTATGTAGGTCTTTAGCTATTCCTCATGTTTCTTTTCTGCATTATCCTCTTCTTCAGTCCTGGTCAATCCCTCTTCCCACCCTTGTTTTGCTCATGTTTCATCTTGATGCCTTAAGATCCTGGTTAGCCAAGGAAGGAAAGAAAGAAATGACTTCAAAACCTCTGTGACTGAATTCTTCATCAAAATTGTTTTTCTCCATTTGTCACTTGCATCTCAACCTAACTAAACCATTCATTTCATTTCATTTTATTATATTTATATGCTGCCCTTTTCCCCCGAAGGGGACTCAGGGCGGCT